TATGCAAATGTGGAAAGTATTAAAGAAGACATCGACATGTTTTTTTGCTTCAAAGCCAAGTGATTTCTTTAATCAGAGCATTAACAACCTGATGGTAAGATGGAAAAGCATCATCAATAAGAATGGAGACAATTTCATTTAGTAAATCTTTTGTTTTGATATACAAGTTCGGATGTTTTCATCCAAAAAAAGCGACATTAATTTCTTGACGACCTAATATCAAGAGGTTCCAACAAGTATTATTGATATACATTTCCTCTTTAAGCAACTAATTTTTTTTTAGCTTTGAGATGCATCTGGCTCTGAAGTATTATAAATGAACAGTCCCTAGCTTCTTTCATAACTTTGTCTACTAAGCAATGTAAGAGACTCGAGTTCTTGTCAGATGTTAAAATGAAGGATCAATAAGTAATCAATTATTTATGTGCCTGCTACATCAAAATGCGAGAAAATTATTTGAAGGCGTATAATATACTGACGCTGTCTTTAGGCCTGTCAGCCAATGGAAGGTAAACCCTTTACAGCAAACTAGTTAATTTCCGATTTTAATCACCAGAACGGAAGCCGGGAAGGATGTTATTCGGAATAGTTTTTTCTTCTTATTTTATCATTGACTTACAAAATTTATGAAATAAAAAAATCCACAGAGAAAAATTATATATGAAAATAGAAGGCGATGTTTTACACCTGCTGTAAAAACTCACCGGAAATAAGATCCTGTTTGTTTAAATCACAAAGATACCAACAAGAAACAGTATCATCGTTAAACAGTTTAAACTAACTATAATAGCTTAATGGTATAAACAGAAAACCTTAACAAATTTTAAAACAGTAACAAAAGAAAGTAGAAGAAATAGTGGTAAAAATGTGAATTTTAGTTTTATAAACGTCACAAGAAATGAACCACTGTAAAACGTATTCGAAAAATGATAATTTCTCGTTTTACGTATGTTTAAACATTTTTTTGTTTACAACACCGAAACAATAACATGTCAGTACATGCCCTAAGGTGTGTTTAGGTACGTCACTGATTGTGTTTTATATGCATCATTATATGTTCTGTGTGTTTCCACATAAGTCAGTGTGCATATATAGGCATGCCAGTATGTGTTCTGATGAGTCATTATACGGCCTTATAATTCAGTGTGTTCTGAGGAGCCAGTATATGACCTGATAATTCGGTATGTGTTCTGAGGAGTCACTATATGAGTTAATACAAGAGTATTTGCCTTACTTACCCATGTAAGTATCAGGACTTTCCTGAAGGTGAGATTCGTGCTGTTCTGAAGGTTGGTTCATTAAGGACGACAAGTTCATCCCTCTCCTACAACATACAGACAAACAACGTGTAAATAAAATTTAGAATAGAGTTTCTAAACCTCACAGAAAATACTATGTAGTTAACTTGACTTTTTTAAAAATACGACAGGCTAATTAGCTAAACTAAGTTTCATTAATACAGTTTTAGTAAGATTTTTCTTAGAGTAAGCAGTTTGCGAGATTATACTAAAATAGAATTATACCGGCAAATCGAGTATCCGTAAAAATGCTTTATTCTGCTCACCTTAGTTTTTTTACACGTTAAAAAGCACCATCTATTTCACGAAAATAACAAATAAGCAACTCGTTCTTAGTTGCTCGTCCAGGAACAAAAAGAAAGAGTCTTGAAAAACCCTCTTCAATTCAATTTCTTCCTGGGTGTTACTGTTGAATAAACATTATGGTGCAGGTTATGCTTGACAAGATAAATTATTATCTTACATATTTACCGAATATTTCCCGAAGGATCCATAAGTTAAACCTAATCTACTTTATTCGCTGCCCATTAACTTTGCTACAAAACATCTTTGTGATATTGGGATTAATCAGAGGTATATTCTTACTAGACATGCTCGCATGTAAACTATTCACATCAAAGACGTTGATGTAAACTTAACCTTGCAGTAACGAAGCTCTAATTAACTAAGATTATTGGAATTAGGCGTGTTTAATATATATTTTTTTCTTTTACAATTATTTTTTGATATATTATTTAGTACTTATGTTTATATTTAAGAGTTACGTTAAATGGTGTTACTACTTTTGATCATCTGAATATCAAATTTAATAGATATTTTAAAACCTCCTACAGTATGTTGTCAATAACTACACAGTGGGCTATCTGTGCTGTGCCCACCACGAGTATCGAAACCTGGTGTTTAGCATTATAAGCTTTCAGACTTACCGCTGAGTCACAGGGGAGGGGGGGGAGAAATTTGATACTAATTCATTTAATCTATACACCATGAAAACTTAAGTACAAGATTAACGCAAGTATGCATGTGTATGCGTAGATAACATTAAAAATACTAAAGAACAACAAGCGAATCTTTGTGTGTTTAAATAGGGGTTACAACTTTTAGGATTTTGGTTTTAATTTACTATAATCACTACAATGCAATTTGACAGCTCAAGTTTGTTGGGAATGGCGTATACCTCGTTTCGCATTTAAGTTCTTCATATATGTTCGTTCATGTATTATACATTTTTAACTTTTAGCTAATGTTAAAATCCTAACAGCGCATCATGTTGAATTTTTCTGTGTTAGTGCTAGGGTGGGAGAAGAAAAAAAAGGTCTTAGCCACGTGGTTAATTTGTCTTAATTTCAAATTAGCCAAAAATATACTCAGTTATCTAGAATAGTTACCACTTTTATTGTTTCATCGTAGTGGGCATATTTACGTCAGTCGTAGCGCATAATGTTTACTCTATTAACGATACGCTTATGCAGATAGTGAAATTTTTAAAAAGTGAGGGATACGATCAAACATGGCGGCATTTCCAATACCTCGCGACCTTGTTATCGACCAGTCCTATACTTGAAACACAAAATCAGAATACATTTCAAAATGTAAAATCACCTTAGGATCGTAAATGTGACAATAAATAGTTCAAAATTCTGTAATTCAACCATCAGTAGTTATTTAGTAATGGCATAACCACCAAAACAACGATAACTTTCGTTACGGCAATACCTGTGCGGTTTGCGATCGAGACTCGGAAATAAGCCCAGAAATACATGATTGCGCAACCGTAGCGATAATAGCGTAAATATAGCCCTTACGACTGGCGTAAGTATAGCTGTTCTTACATTTATTGGTCGTATATGCTAGCAGCTGAACTGTAAATAATGTTTTCTTGCACTTCGGTGAATAAAGTCTCTTATTAAAATCAGGCTACAAACCTGCCGCTTGGAAACAGGCAGATGTTATTACGTTCCCAATGGAAGGAAAATCAGTGGATAATCCAGAAAACTATAGACCTATTAGCTTGACAAGCTGTTTAGGTAAAGGTTTAGAAAAAACTTTAAACAGCAGAGTGTTGGTTTGTGTCGAAAACACAAGTAAACTACCGAAAGTCCAAAACGGTTTCCGAAAATCAAGACAAACAACGGATCAATTAATTCGGTTAACAGATAAAATAATTAATAGCTTCAATAATGATAATAAAGTACACTATCGCAAGCTTTCTCGATGTCGAGAAGGCTTTCGACAGTGGCTGGCACAACGGTTTGAGATACCAAATGTCCTGAGAAATATTCAAATTCTTATTTCTGCTCACATTTTGCAGACGACGTTGCTATTTGGAATAGTTTCGTCGTGATGCATTTGTGTTATTTCTTTCCGTGCAACAAAATACGAATACAGATTATAATAAGGTTTGTTTGTTTGTTTGTTCTGAATTTCGCGCAAAGCTACACGAGGGCTATCTGCGCTAGCCGTCCCTAATTTAGCAGTATAAGACTAGAGGGAAGGCAGCTAGTTATCACCACCCACCGCCAACTCTTGGGCTACTCTTGTACCAACAAATAGTGGGATTGACCGTCACATTATAACGCCCCCACGGCTGAAAAGGCGAGCATGTTTGGTGTGACGGGGATTCGAACCCGCGACCCTCAGATTGCTAGTCGAGTGCCTTAACCACCTGGCCATGCCGGGCATCTGTGCTCTGCCCACCACGGGTATCGAAACCCGGTTTCTAGCATTGTAAGTCCGCATACATACAGCGGTGCCACTGGAGGAGGGGGGGGGGCATTTCAACATATTGTATTTTTATAAGAAGTCACTATGCAAACAGAATTGGCTGTTTCAGTTTTTTAACTGTTTTTAGCCAGTTAAAAGTACAAAGTACTAAAGCTAGTTACATCTTTTTTTTTCTTTTTTTTTCCGGTGGCCAAAGTCTTGTACGGTATCTTTTCACTACTTTTGTTTGGCCAAAGTCTTGTACGGTATCTTTTCACTACTTTTGTTTGGCCAAAGTCTTGTACGGTATCTTTTCACTACTTTTGTTTGGCCAAAGTCTTG